AGAAAAAAATTCCAATTCTCTTTACGAAGCCACTACTACCCCTTTATTTTGCAAATATATATGAGGTTATTTTTACATTAGTATGAGAAATACAGTAACTAGAAAGGAATACTATATTGTAAAGAATGACTCCTGGGTTCCATGATTCATGAGATAATGAAGAGTGTGAGTTGCTGGGATAAGGGGCAACACCCAGAGCAGTAGATCAGAATAGAGAAGGCCAAACACAGATCACCACAAAATGATCTACCTGATTATGGCTAAGCTCTAAAGTAATTTGATGAAAGAAAGACAGTCTAGCAAAGGAAATAATACTGGTACAATTGGATAGTCACAAGCACAAAAATACAACTTTTAATTGACCTGTGATATATGTGTTTTCACATAACATATAAAATTCAATGAAAGTAAGTCCTTGGTGGATATGTAAAAGAGGTTATAAAATTTTTCATGTGACAGAATGTTTTGTTTTCCTATGAATAGCCAAAAAGGCCTTAGACTTGATACCAGAACCATGATTTGTAAAACATGATAGACTTCATTAAAATGGAAAACCTTTTGCTGTGCAAACAATAGAAGTCAATAAAAGGACTTTTACATAATTAAACAGCTGCTTTGAAAAAGACAGTAAGACATAGAGTTGGATAGAGTTTTTATAGAACACAGTTTGGATAGAGGAAAGATAGCTGGCATGTACATTCCCTAAAGTTGTAGAAGAAAACCAAGTGGCTTTCCTGCCCCCAGAAGTTGCCACCTGCCTAAAGCTCCCCAGTTAGCGGCAAGGCTTCAGTCAGTGTGGTTCAGTAGTGTGGGCCATGTGTAGGTTGTCCGTGCTCCAGCGGATGACCATTTATCTATGTGCATATGAACAGCACTAATTGTACTCTCAGTGCATTGTGAAGGAGAAACGGGGAAAAGAGGGAGAGAAATGAACTTGGGAGGATGGTGATAGTGAGGCCAGAGATCCATCAGGAGTTGGACAATGGGATTACTTGGGTCTAATCTACATACACTGTATTCATTGATATTACCAGAGTATGTAATTTTAAGAAACAGAAAGAGATACACAATTCTTTACAAACTAAAATCGATCTGGACTATAAAATGCACCAAAGAAAGAAAATAACATAATCCTGAACAATACATACAAAAATTTCAACCTTATTAGACATTAGGGGAATTTGAACAGAGATCATAGTAAGAGATTATTACACAATTATCAGAATCTCTAAAACGAGGGTAAATGACATCAAATGCTGCTCTCCCTGACATGTAGAAACTGACTCCCTCATTAGTAAGTATAAAAATGGTAAAGCCCTTCCGGAAATAGTTTGGCAGTTTCCTAAAAAACTGCATATGTGACTTCTATGTGGATATTTTTCCTGGAGAGCTTCAGATGTATGTTGACATAAAAGAGTATGAACATATGCTTATAAAATTTTTATAGTAATATCTTAAATCTAATGGCTACCCATTAGTCTTTCAGCAAGTGATGGTTAGATTCGATTGTAATATGACATATACCAAGCAATAAAAAGAATAAATTATTGGTATATTACACACCATAATTGAATCTCCAGATATTATGCTAAATGAAAAGCTGATCCCCAAAGCTTAAGGGCCATATGATTCCATTTTATAAGATATATAGCTATGTAGCCTGGGTTTTAGGCAGCAACTCAAAACACCCTGCCCCAGCCTCTCAAGTGTGGGGATTATAGACATGTACCACCATGCTCACATATTAAATCTGTATGTGTGTGTATGTGTGTGTATGTGAATCTGTGTGTTCAGATTCCTGGGTTTGTGTGTGTGTGTGTGGTTTGGGAAGGCAAGAGGAAAACTTACGGGAATTAATTCTCTCCTCCTACAATTGTTGCTGGGGATTATCAGTCTTTGAGAGATCTCTGGCACAATTTTTAGGCTTACCAGGTAGGCTAGTCTGGCTGCTCATCAAGCCAGGGATCTATTTCTTCATTCTTAGTGCTGAGAGTACAACAGTGTACTATCACACCAGGCCTGTGTCTTTTGTGGTGTGTGTGTGTGTGTGTGTGTGTGTGTGTGTGTGTGTGTATGCGAGCGCGCACATGTGTGTTGGTTTAGGATTTGAATTTGTATCCTCTTGCTTACAAGGCAAGAACTTTACTGCCTGAGCCATCTCTACAGTTCAGTTAGATAGCACCTTTGAAGTTAGAGAATTACTGAAACTTGTACTCTGTTAGCAATTGTTGGAAGACTAAAGGGACTGTGGGGAGAGAAGAGAGTAAGGCTATAGAAATGTCTCATTAGTAATTCTGTGGTTTTTAAGAGTTCTGTGTCTAAACTATATCAGTGCCAAACCATGACTATAATAACAAAGCAGAATTTTACTTATATGAGATAAGCTGATAGAATTTGCGTCATTTGACAAAATGGAATAGCTAGTCCAAATGTACACATGCATTTTAATGAATAATTTTAAACATTTTTATTGATGTATATGTATGAGTATGTTAGTGTCCACAGAACCTGGAAGAGGGTATCACGCCCCTTGGAGGTAGAATTACAGTTACTAGTTGCCCAATGTAGATGCTGGGAACTGAACTCAGACCCTCCAGAAGAGCAGAATGTTCTCTGAACTACTGATCCAGTTCTGAAGTCCCACTGAACCTTAAGAATTTCAATTAATTGCTTATAGTTCTGTGCCTAGGGGTGGGTTCCCACAAAAAAGTTTCTCCCATACATGTTAGCATAATATTGACATTATTATTGTTCAGGTCTTGTTTATACAGCCATTTCTAGGCAGGTACAGCCTGTTTCATAGCAGGTATTTACAGATACCCTGGCTATGACAATATGTCTCCCCCTTCTTCTCTGACATTTTCTGAAGCATAGATGCAGGAGCTGCAAAGAAGACATATCTGTTGTACCTAGGCTTCCCACAATCTTCCAATCTTGGTATTGCATTTAGTATGGTTTGCTGTGATGGTCTCTATTTGCTGTAAAGGGCGTCTCTTTAATGAGGATGGTAGATAAGATATAGAATGCTGGTCTAGCAAAGTGGTAGCAATAGAAATATAATAAAAATGGAAAATCAACTTGAGAGTGAAACGGTATGGGAGGGGTTTGAGAGAGGGCAATGGGGAGGAACTGGAGGATGAGGGAGGGAATGGGGAAGTGATATAACTCAATTTTAATTTAAAATATTAAAATATTTAAAAAATTTAAATGACATGAAGTGGAGAGGAAAGCAGCAGATATGGGAGAACTGGACTGTGACCATGATTAATATATTGTCTAAAATTCTCTAAAGATTAATTAATTAAATATATTATTTATTTAAAAAAGAATTTCGGTTAAGAAGAAAGGGGGTGTTCAGGCAGGAAGCCACTGCAATTGCTTTCCTTCCCCTAGAACCTGCACACATCTGGTTGGGGCAGGGTGGGATCAGAGTCCCCAGGCACAGGGTTATCAGTATTGGTGAACTCTAGAGAAAATGCTTTTAAAGCATCCCTGCTTTACCCATTTCAGCTGTTGCTGTTATTGCATCCTTCCGCCTGAGAAAAATTACAGTAAAGGCCAGAGAGCTGTTTTTTTTCATTTCTTTTTTGTGAGTGAAATATGTGGAGTAATTTAATGGATTGCAATTATAAAGCCAGAGAACCTCCACAAATGTCATACTGAAATCACCACTAAAAGGAATATTAAAAGACTGCAAGAAGGAACACAGGTAATTTTAGCCTCCCACTCTGGTGAGTGATGGAATAAGAAAAGAATCGATGCCTAAAGATAATGAGAGCTGATTTTTTTCCAGACCCTTGACCACATAAACCCTTTAAACAGGAAAGGCTTTTAGATTGTACCCACTGAATAACAGATCCCTGGACCACCTCTTCCAGTTCTTGATGGTCACTATTTTAACTTACGTTTCAAACACATCCTCTCCAGGCATGCACTATTGATGGGCACACAGAATGTCTGTCTCTTTTGTAACAGGGTTATTCACTTAGCATTTCCCCAAGGTCCATCCAGGCTGCAAATACGACTTTTTTGAGTTGTGATTTCAAATTCTAGATGAACATTTTAAAGAGACATTGTCAGAGTCATGCCAACCTCTCTTTTTTTCATACCTTTTGTTCCTCTCAGAGATGTTTTCTGGTCACTGTGTCCTGGTTACCTCTTTAGGCAGGCCTCAGCTTAGCAGACATTTCTTCAAAGAGTCTTTTCTCAAACCAGCAAATCTGGTCAGGTCACACTGTCACATTCTCTCTCCCATTGTATAATTCTCAGCCGAATGTCTTGTTTACGTAGTTACTTTTGCCCTTCTTCCCAGAGCTGACTTTTGGAAGCTATGAATTACATTCACATTTATATTTTATGAAATGTCTGGAACTTAAATGCTGTCACTGGCTTTTTAAACCTTTCTTATTGTCTGTGGTATAAAAGAACAATTTAATCTAAAGCAATGAGAGTGATCCAAACAATTAGGCTTTTTAATTCCCAGATTTGGTATAAAATCTTAGGGCATAATTTAAATGATCTAACATTCTACTTCTGTAAGTAATGACTAGAACAAATGCATACAAGGCTCCTTTTTTGGTTTTTTTTTCTTTTGTTTTTTTGTTTTTTGTTGTCCATACAGGGTTTCTCTGTATTGTTTTGGACTCTGTCCTGGAACTCGCTCGGTAGACCAGGCTGGTCTCGAACTCACAGAGATCCGCCTGCCTCTGCCTCCCGAGTGCTGGGATTAAAGGCGTGCGCCACCAACGCCCGGCACAAGGCTCCTTTAAGATAACTGTTTACTTATGTGAATATCATCATAGCAGAAAAGTGTAATGTATGTTGGTCATTCTGACACTGTACATGTGATAACTTTTAAAATAGTTTGAATTAATCATTTTCATTTAAATCAAATGAAGGGGAATACTTTATATAATGAAAACAAAAGACCAGTGATTGAGGGGTGTATTTCACTAAATTACTCATTAATCCCTTCTTTTTTTTTCTTTTTGTCCCAATAGTCTTATTCCACATAAGATGATGCATGATTGGAAAGAACTCTTTTTTAGTGGAAATCCTATCTATGAACAGGTGTCTCTCAAACATGGGCTTACAGAGCCTACTGAGGAGTATCATATAGAGCTGGAGAAAAGGAACTTGCTTGATAACAACGATTATGAAGACTATAAGGTACATACCAATATGGGATAATTGGAGTGAATTAAACACAATAAATTCCTTTCCTTAATGCTAATTTGTGGTATTTTACTTAATTCCTATGAATGAAAACAGATATTACATTTGTATTTTCTCTCGTATGAATCTATACACACACACATACATATATATATATATATATATATATATATAATTAAGTTTTACCTGCCTAAAGAATCCATCATTATTATCTGATGTTCATAGTATTAATGGAGCAGTCTAAAAATAATTAAATGTATTACATTGAGCAAACAGATGTCAGAAGGATGTCTTGCTAGAATTTTTCTTTTATGAGCTTTCTACCTTTGCTTCAAAAACCATTGTTAAAAGGTGATTTCCAAAGCAACCTATCTCAGTAGGTATGGATCTGCAAACAGAATGGAAAAAATGTGGTATGGTTTATAGTGGCATAAATTCATACAATATTTTATGCAAATAGCAGAATAGTATTGAATATATTGTACAATTCATACAATGTTATTCATGTTTAAATTATGCATATTTATGAAGTCACTGTAATAAATTTTTACAAGCATACAATATATATGCTTTATAACACATTATAATATATTTTATATTGAGTTAAGAGACAAGTTCAAAGAAACCATTAATATTTTAAGGAAATGGAAATACTGCCCCTGCCTGTTAGAAAGCTGTCTATAAACCTTTGAGATCAAACAGTGGGCATTGTCCATTGCTAACTATAGACCTTGGGTATCTAATCCCTAAGCACTGAAGACATTTGTTGCCTTAATTTATGAAATAATAATGTACCTGTCTTATTTTGTTCTTACTAAGCTCATTTAAGATGGTAAATGTTAAATGTTTAGTCCAATACACTGTATATTGGATTTAAGAAATGCATACTAATTTACTTTACCACCCGACTCTCCCCATACAACTTCATCTCACCATTGTAAGTAAGATATAAAAGTGGTGCCATTTCTGGGTAAACACACAGCCATGGAATGGAAAGTGAAAATGATTATTGTTAGAATGTCACTGACTTTTAGAAAGTTAGCAAATGCAATGTGAAAATAAGAATGAATGATGAGGGATTAGACCTAGTCATTCACTGATAGTCAGTGAATAGTTAATAAATATTTGCTGTGAAGATGAATGCATAAAATGAATTCATGGCAATGACCAGGAAAATGAACAAAATAACCCTGATGTGTAGATATTAAAGGAAGTTAAGATTATGGTTAAAAATTAAGGAAACAATATCAGACTATGGGAAACTACAAGTAAACATGATTTTAATTTAATGAGAGTATATATTTATATCCTTTTATAGGATTATTTATGTTGGATTGAATAGAAACTTAAGACACGTGGAATAGTACATGCATCTTCAGTATGCTAACCTAGAAGATAATGTCACATGAGAAAAAAAATATTTTTTGATAAATATCAAACTATGTTAAGGTATTTCTTTCCATTATGAATTAAGAAGTCATCGCTATTCAGTTAAAGCAGTATTATTTGCCAGCTTTTGCTGCTTTGTAATTCAGTATTTGTTCCTTGGTTATTTCTTGGAACAGTTTAGTTGACTCTGTTCTTTTTCTCATAAATCAGGAGACCAGGTAAGCCACAGCTGAGCAAGCCTCAGTGTTTCTATTTTTGTTGTTTGGGAAATGGTTACCACAGGAACACGCTTGTCTTACCCACATCCTGAGGCCCCTGGCATGTTTCTTTGGCAGGAAATTGTCGACTTTTGTTAGGAGTTTGTGAATGTCTGTCAGTCAGCGCAGATCTTTTGTGTCATCTTTGCTGTTTCTCTATTGATGAAAATTCCCTTACAATTTCCTAGTTTATGTGCTCTGTTCTTTTTAACTGCAAAGTTAAGTTAGGTCCTATGCAGATGGATAAACTGATTTTTCAGTTATTGTTCACTATTATGAGAACTTTGTTATCTTCAAAAACTTCATCTCAATATTCCTACATACAGGAAAAATAAATATTTCAAGTGATAAAATGTTATCAGTCTTAATGGTCTATAACAAATACAAAAGGATAGTATATACTGGTTTAGATCATAGATTGTTTGCCCATATTTGCTATAACTAAATTTGTTCAAGGTTCCTAATGCAATAAGCAAATGCAGATCTTCAGAAGTATTTGCATTCTTGACATGCTTTACTGATACCCACACCTTCTGTCCCTAAAGAAATGACATCATTGGCTTCTGAGATCAGGGCCCAAAGAATGCATGCTGCCCTTGATAACCTACCATCGTGCTCTATTTCTAGAATGGCTACTTAGGAAGAAGTGCTAGCCAATGACTAATGTTTCCAGAAATCTTCCTCTCTGCTAGGAAGAAAGAGCATCATGAAATAGCCATCTGGGGGGTGGGGACTATAGGCCATTGTGATAGCATGAAGGGAATGAGATACTCAGCAGACTAGACTATAGACATGCAAGTCAGCTGTAGACATTCCAGATGTTTAGACCAATGGCCTACCATGCTCCCAAGCCTTTAAGTCCTCTTCCATGCTGGCTTTATTTTCATTTTCATTTTCTAATCTAGTTTTATCCCAGCTTTCTTTGACCATTGGCCAACAGCAAAGGACTTGTCTCCATCCCACCTCTGCTTCTTCCTGTTTCTGGCCACTTCAGAGAAACAATCATGTTTGGGCAGTAGCTCAATCAGGTATTCACCCAACATTTTCAGAATAGCCATCAACGCAGTTGTAGAGAGCAGGTGGGTCCATGATTCCTCCTAGTGAATGTGTGACCCTCCCAAGTCCCAAACCATAGGCCCCATCTATGGTTCTTACTGGAAAAAGTCTTCTTGAATAGCATTTTTTTCATAAGCATCTTACTAAGAGTTGCTATTAAGTTTAGGAGTTACAGTTGTCAGTTTCTATATCCTTGGATTCGACATCCACAGAGTAAAACAATCACTTTATCACAAATAATTTTTCACATAAAGACCATTTTGTCCTGTGATTATTCCCTAAACAATATAATTGAAGGGCCTATTTCCACAGGATTTACATGATATGGGGTATTCTAAATAATCCAGGGATGATTTCAAGGATGCAGGGTGATGTTCATGAATGATATGCAAAGCTTACAGTGTTTTCTATAAGGAAATCCAGCCATTTTCTTTTTAGCACATCTATCTTACTTCAGCTTCTTGGTGATGATTTTTCTATCATGGCTATTTTTACTTTTAATAGTAAAATGCTGCTTTATGATTGAGTTAGTGGTGGTGGGTTGCTTATGACTTTCCCTGGACTAGACTTTGTGATAATGTTTAATGCTATGGTCCTGTCTCTAAAGTGCTGTCCCTTTAGTAACACTCCCATCTTCAAATGCGTGCATATAATGATATTTTCCCCAGGAGTTTTTCACCAAATACTAATCCTGTGTCATTAGCATGACCTTGAGTTATGAAACACATATCAAACCTCAGGATTTGAGAGTAGTTAGACGAAAGGAAGCATGGAGAGGAATGACAGTGACAACAAAAGAGGGACTAAATGCTTCATTCTTGTCCCACTTCTCTGTGAAATATGGCTTTTCTCCCTGAGAGCCAAATTTCCCAAATAGGATAACTAGAATATTGACTCTAGAACTTGCAAGACAAGAAGTGTGCTTCCATCATATTCAATGCCCTCTGTAAACCAGTCCAGACTGCCGGAAGGTCAGCCAAGTGTTCTGAGACAAGGATTTGTTAACATTTCAGACCTAGAACCAAGACGGCCATGATTGTTTCTCTGAAGAGGCCAAAACAGGAAGAAGCAGAGGAGGGATGTAGCCAAATCCTTTGTTGTTGGCCAGTGGTCAAAGCTAGCTGGGTTAAAACTAGATTAGAAAATGAAGCTGGCATGGAAGAGGACTTAAAGGCTTAGGAGCATGGTAGGCCATTGGTCTAAACATCTGGAAGGTCTACAGCTGGCTTGCATGTCTGTCAGTCATCTGTTACACTCTTTAAATAAGTTTAGGAGGCCTGAGGGAAATTCCATTATAGGACTATGAAATTAACCTGGTCACATACAGCGTCTTTCACAGAGAAGATCTTACTTAGTCACTCACACAAGCATTCTTACCCTCTCCAGGACCCTGGCATAGGCCTGGTGCTTAGGCTTCCCCACCTTCCCAGCTCCTGATTACCTCAGGCTTGATTCCTCTTGTGTCTTCTCTGGCATCTTCAGTGTATGCATTTTAGTTTCTGATGAATGCTGGTTGGTTGCTTCTGCTGTCCAAGTGTAGCAGGGCATTTCCAGAGTATGGACTTCCTTGGGGGAGAAATGTTTATAGTCCTAGGTTTTCACTAATGTGAATACAGATAACACTGGATTTCCTGTTCCTTAAGTGATGTTCCCTAATTGTTTAGTTGAGGATGCTCCTTTTAAAAATTAAAACCTTTTATCTATCATCTTTCTGAGGAAAATAATGTTAAAAAACCAAAATTTTCTTATTCACTTTTATACTTGAAAGTGGTTTTATCTTTTTCTCCTTGTTGTACCTATTGTGGTTTAAGACGTCGCACATTTATAAATTATTTCTCATTTATTTCATTTTAAAAGAAATTCTCTTTGATGCCATTCAAAAGTAATTCCTTACCTTGATGGAAACTATTTCTTACAACCATGGTCTACTTATTTATTTACAAAAAGCAAAACTTTATTAATATAGTTCAGGAGTTAGGAAATTCCAAGATCAAGTTGCAGGCAGATTTGGTATCTGATGAGTGCCCAATGTCTACATCCAACCCACCACTAAGAGCCCTGCGCTCACCCTGACCTCAGAGCTCAGCTCTTTATGCACTTTAATGAAGCTCTAACACTGCCTCTCCTGAGGATGAACCTCCATAGCCTGTTGACCTCCTAGAATACCCCACCTTCTTAATACTGCTGTGTTGGTAGTTAAATTCCAGCATGGACTTCAGAGACGCAAGCTTTCAGATCAATCATGATGAATAATTTGTATGGCAGTTTCACAACATCCATTTGCAATCATTT